ACAGAGAGAAAACAGGGACAAATGCAGTGAGTTGTGAAGGGGGGGAGAGAGAGACAGAGGAGAGAGAGAGAGAGAGAGAGAGAGAGAGAGAGAGAGAGAGAGAGAGAGAGGAGAAAGAGATAGAGGCAGGGAGAGAGAGTCTGCCTCTGTGAGGAGCAATCCAGGAAAAAAGGCATCAGAGGGCAGGGGACACATGACATCATATCCAAAGGACAGGTGATTGAATCTGACAGGAAGCAGTGGGGGAAAGGGTGACAGAACCCTGTGTAGGCCCACCTCCATGTAGCAGGTAAGCAAACAGGTTCCAGTCTCAGCCAGTCGGTCTGTGGAGACACCTGCACAGTTCCTTTGACCTCTGCTGTCGGTCCTGGCTGCTCATGAGCATGCACTGCTGCGGAGCAGGGTGTGAATGGCGATGTTAACCGCTGGCATTCAGCAGCGCAGAGTAGCTCTTTCCCCTGACATCTGTGACATCTATCTGGCAAGAACACTTGTCTTTTACACTTGGCCACACCCTTCTTCACCTTTCTGTGCATCTGCTTCATGCCAGCTCACTCCCATGTCTGTTTTCTGTGTCTTCAAAGTGCTTGTGTTGTGAGCCAGCATGCTTGGGTGTGAGGATACTCGAGAACTACATTTTCTTTTGCTCGGTTGCAGTGGGACACATGGACATTTATAAGATTATGAGGACCTTGAAGGTGAGCAGGGCTGCCCCCTGCTTGTTACACCATCTCTACTCTTGACTTAATTCGCCTGTGTGTCCAAGGCAGTTCCAGCACGGGTGGCCACTGAGCTAGAGGCCAGAGTTTGCTGTGGCCTCCAACTCCATCTGGCTGTGTCTGTTCGCAGAGTCAGCATCACCCAGAGCCGCAGCTCCCACTCCTTGAACAAGCAACTCATCATCAACATGGAGCCCCTGCAGCCCCTGCTTCCTTCCCCCATGGAGCAGGATGAGGAGCTTCTCCTGGGTGAGGGTAAGTCTGCTGCTTCATCCCAGCTCTGCCTCGAGGCTCCTGGGGGCCAGCTCTGTGTACACTGGGCAGGTGTGGGGCAGGGGCCAGAGTGAGGCATTAACTATGTTTGTAACAAAGAAGCTTTCTTTGTACGTTTAGCTAGAAAGCTATATTATAGTGGGAGTTCTGCTGGGTTCTTCTAGAAGGTTCACTTATGCAAAGTATTCCTAAAATTCCATGTGATAGGGATTTATATTTTAGAATATCCATGGTTGTTGGAAAATAACAGTTCTATTTTATGTCTAAGGTATGTGATATTCAGACAGATAGTGATGTCAAGCTTAACTGCCTGTGTTATAGGATAATAATATCTTTAAGCTTCTCTTCTGGATGTTTAACAAATAAAGTTTGCAGACCAAAAGTGAGACAGGTAGATGGGATAAAAAGATAGCCAATATTTTGGCCCTAGCCCTTTAAGGTCAGTGAGGACTCAGGACATAGGAGAATCTCTGCTGCGATATCCTATAACTAAGTGATGTCCCAGTATTTCTGATTAAGGAGATTATGGGGCCAAAGAGGAAAGTGATCAATGATGTGTGCCTAAGGAGAGTCACCTAGAGAGAAAAATTCTCTCAGGCTTTTACAGAGAGCAAATTGGTCAAGCAATGGCCATGACTCATCCAGATAGCTGACACTGACAGAAAATCTACAAGGTGCTGTACATGGTTCCAGGATAAATCCTGAGAGGATTGACTGACCTTGTCAGATAGCAAAAGTTACATTTTTAGTTATATAGATCTTGCTTTAACGTGGTCTTACCCATCCAGCAGAAAAATGTAACCATGAAGTATAAAAAGTAAAGCTATATTAATATACTGAGCTGTAATAGGCTCAAGTCAACAACTTAATTGCCAGTTGTGCTGATAACCCACTACTATTATGGGCTATTGATCTATATTGGGTTACTTTGCTGAATTCAAGTACCTACAGTCTTTGGACTGGAATCAAGTATGAAAAGGTCCTTTAAAGACTTCTCCAAATACAGCTTCTATAGCAGCAATGGAAAATAAAATAAAAGAAAATTCCATGTGATAGCAGTAGTGATGTTAAAGTGGCAAACCATAGGTGGTTATTTAAAGCTAAATTTAGGTTGATATACATGAATGAAGGGGTTTGAGAAATGCAGGAATGGGGAGGGAGAGAAGTGCATTGGGAAGAATTAAGAAATGCCATGGTAAATGTAGTCATACATTACAAACATGCACCAGTGAAACATAACTATTTAAAGAAACAAAATCAAGAATCAAAAAAAGCTAAGTGTAAATTTCCTAAAATGAAAAATCCCATTCCTCAGGCACACTAGCTAAAGTTGTAGTGTTCAGCAGCCACATGTGGCTGGTGCCTGCTGTATGGGACTATGAGACTGAAAACACTTCCACCATCGCTGAAGTCCTGTTGGAAGGAGCTCTCTCAACTAGTTACAGTTGCATGGGTGGAATTACAAGGAATTCTTCACAAGTGCTGGTCATCCTCTTTCTGCCGCAGTAATTTCTCAACCTCTTGTTTCCTGTTCCATGGATCCCTTATCTGAGTTTTGACACAGCTGAAATAAATAGGGTCTACTTCAATTCAAGAATTATTTTATTTTTAGGGGCAAGGAATATAGCTCAGCAGCATTCATGCCTGCCTGGCAAGTGCAAGGTCCTGAGTTCAATCCCTACTACTGCAAAACAAACAAACAAGAATTATATTTTTAAAAGTGAATGTGCTTATGGGCTGCCCCTTCCTCTCTCCTTTATGTATACTTTCATCTTTCCTTCTGCTCTCCCCTCCTTCCATCTCTCTCTTGTTCTCACTCCCTTTGTTCATTTTTCTCTGTAAGGACTTTACTTCAGAGAGTATTGCCACACTGCTTCCTGCTGACACCTGTTGAGACCAATCTCGCACTCTTATTGATTTAATAATAAAACTAAGAAAAAATATTCCACAAAATCAGGTTACTGGAACCAATAATACAGACATACAGTTCTTTTCCTTAATTTTATGTGGTCTTTTTAATTCATCAGTGAAGATCTGGATACTAGGCAGTTGCAAGAAGCCAGGTGTTCCTGTCCCAAAGTGATCACCTCCACCTCAGCTTCAAGTCAAGGATTCCTTACCTAGAAGAAAGCTTTTCAGTTCATAATAAGAATTGAAACTGGCATGGAGATACCTGGAGAGAGACAGCAGCACATTGAACTGTGAAGGGTTTTAGTAGGTTTTTCCTGAATAGCCACTTTGATGGTTAGCAGGAGAACTGGTAACAGGGTGCCCACAATCCCATACGTAGAGGGAAAGACTGAAGTATGGAAGTGAGTGTTTCTGCAGATACCTTGCTCCCATTCCCAGCTAGTCCACAGGAATGGTATTGTGAGTACAGTCTTTTTTTTCTTAATTCTAAATGCTGCTTCATTGTGATCTCTATCAAAGCTCACTGTCACGTTTATACTCAAACACATCTCTTTAAACCATACCTAATCTTTAAATAAAATGAAGTTCATATTTAAACATATTACAGCCATCTTGTGTGAAATCAAAACCACAATAATTCCTGAAGCTCAAGCATTTTTCAAAACTCCAAGTCAAAGTCTCTTCTGAGACTCAAAGTAGATTCCATGCTGTGAATCTCCTTAAGAAATAAAAATAAGCTACTTAACTCCAAGGTGCAATAACATAGAATGAACATTCCCATTGTAAATAGGAGTAAGGAGAAAGGAATTGGACCCACACAAGGTCAATACATAGGAGGGAAAGAACTAAGTCCTGTACCTCCATATCCAGCATTCTCGTCACATGGTGATGCAATGTGAATTCCAAAAATTGGACTCAGTAGTGATCAGCCCGCTTACAGCCTCCCAAGAGCTGGAATTAGAGGGGTGCACCACCACACCCATTTTCAACTGCAGTATGAGTACAGTCTTGCTATAATAAATATAGTTATCTATCCTAAAAACTAACTCTGAAGGCTCATTGCTAAGTTAATTTTATTAGCCCCAGTGACTCTGGATCCATTTTGCTTGTCTGATTCTATGTTTTTTGTTTGTTTGTTTTCTGTATTTAGAACAGGGTCTACAGGGTGTGCAGGGTCTCACTACATAGATCAAACTCATAGTGATCCTCCTGTTTTCAGCCTCCCAAGTGCTGGGATTCCAGGCACGTGCCACCTCGCCCAGTCTCAATCATCATCTCAGTGTGCCCCAGGGGCGGGGCCGGCCCAGCACACTGGGGATCGAACCCTGGCTCCTGCGCTCTGCCTAAGTATGTGCTTTAGTCTGCTGAGCTATCAATCTGGCCCTTTATGTTTTTGAAGTAAAAGAAATATGTCTTTTGTTTCTGATCAGTGATATTTATGGAGGGTTGTTCTGAATGAGGATGGTGATTCTCCCAGGTTTAAATGAAGAAAGATGTGGCTAATGGGGTGAAGAGGGGAAGGTAGAAGAGGAAAGGAGAAGGGAGATTCACAGAATTGAGACTGTGTTTTGAAAAGCTGAGCCTAGTGGGAATGAGTTTGGAAGCCCAGACAGATGGAGCAAGTAGGGTGAGAAGTGCAGACTCCCAGGCCACATGAGGGGAAGCTGGAAAGCTTTGCTCTGAACTCTGTCCCATTTAATGAGGTCCCTTCCTTTTTGCTTCCTTTCGTATAGTGAGATTCCATGCCTTAATCCTAGCCTTATCTTCCACATAACAACTGTCTACACAGTAGACAACCCATTATGGTTAAGTGCAATAACATTTTAAAATCTCATCATACAGAAATCCATAAGTTGCTTTTTCATTTTTCCAATTGTTTGAAAGAACTATTTTAAGTTATTTCATCAGTGGCAAAGTCAAACTGATAGGTCTCGGTCTTAGAAGTTCAGAGCTCCATGAATGTCCGGATATTTTTCTCCAGATGTGGTACTTATAGGCATCTCTGTGAGTTTTAAAGGAGAAAATCATAACAACTCTCAGCATATATAAAGAACTTAAAAATAATACAAGTGGAAGTAAAAAATACTGTTAACTGTTCAATTCATAGACTGACCTTCCCAACCCAGTTCAAGGGCAGAATCATCTTAGGTGCCAAGAAATCCAAGGTGTGGTTCCCACAGTGCACAGAGCTGCGTTCTCTTGACCCACCACAGCTTAGTTACCCCTCAACTTCCTGCCCCATGTATCTTGTCTGTGTCAGGCAGTGAGATTCAGACAGTCCCTGGGACGAACACTGATGCTCAGCTTCATACTTCTCTGATGGATAACAGGTAACAACAGTGGCAAAGCACACAGCTGTAAGCAAAGATGATGTTTCTACTCTTGTAAGTGGGCCCTCTTTCCTGAGCTTTTGAGCACATACAGTATGATGAATTCTGTGTCATCTTTAGAATTTGATGTTTCAATACTTTTTATGTCTGAATGAAAACCAAATTTAAAGAAGACAGAAATTCAAACACAGTTCCTGTAACTAGTAGACCTCACTGCTACCCTGCTGCACACTCACTATGCTGATGTTCTCTGGAGGCTCACAGCAATTTGGGGGAATGACAGTGGGGTTCCAGGCCCAGTGAGTAGTTCCTGCTTCTGCTGACTGAATTATGTGCTCCCTTTTCTGCTTGCTTCACTGGACGTCAGTGACTCAGGCTGCTTGGGGAGTGTCTTGTCCCTTATCATTGTGGAGCATCCTACATAAAATCTGGGCAAAGGACTGAGCAGAGATGACAGGAGAGGAGATGGGAGTGGTCCAGTCCACTCATGGTAATGGCATGTGTGGTTCAAAGAGGAGAAAGGGGAGTGGTGAAGGCCAGTGGGAAGATAGGTAAGGGTCGGGTCATGATCAGCCTTCAGAATTGCTGGATTGTTCAGACTAATTTGAGATCATCTGGGAGGCAGTTGGAATATTCAGGCCTGCAGTTGACTTAACTGGAGTTGTATTCTAACTCTGGGAAGTGTAGAGGATGGAGTCCAGGTGAGCATGTGAGGGGCTGAGTTTCTTACTACAGGCTTAC